AAATTATTTTAGAAATTTTACTTTCCTCTTATATTATAAATTTTACTAAAATATCTAATATTATTTTTTCCATACCTCAAAATTATGCTATTTTGAAATTGTATGAGATAATTTTATCTCATATTATAAGAGAAATATTAATATTGTAAAAAAATGATAAACCTATTTTTATTTAGTCCGAAGATTGGAATGAAATTGGCTTTAAAAGTATAATTAACTTTAAGGTTTGCTCCCAAATCATTTAACTCCCTGTACTTTTTTTTTTCTAAGACTTCCCTCCTTTATCATTTTTCCAATGAAATCCATCTTTAATGCGTTTAAATATTAAATTAATTTATCCATTTTGTGCAAATGAATAAGTAAAAAAGCAAGAGGGGGTAAGTGATTAAAAAAACGAAATACAATGGGGTAAGTGATAAAATTTTAAACTATACGAGAGTTTTTAACGTTTCCCTTGTAACAATTGAAAAAAAAAAAAAAAACTCGAAGTGAGGAAAAATATGAAGTCCAATAAGCTATTGAGATATATGACTAATGTAAATAAATAATGTCTTGGTCATCACGCACTATAATTTGTTGCCCAAGAAAAAAAAATTGAATGTCTTGCTATAAAAAAAATTAGAATTGAAATAATCATCATTATGTTTTTGAGCACTCTTGCAATTTACGTAAATTGGGATTAGATAGTGTAAAGTTCTTACTCTTCTTATGAAATATAAACAGATTTGTTGTTGGTGCTCTATTTCTATTATTTTAATCTTCAATTTTTCAATTTTGTATTTTTTTATTAAAAAACAAACAAACAAATTAGAATAAAATAAAATAAACTATTAAAATAATAATAATTTTTTCTTTAGCAACCATCTACATGTATAACACTGATGCACTCAAATACAACGATCAACAAACTAAAAGATATATATAAATGACAAACATAAAAGACAATATGCAACAATTTTAAAAGAAAAAAAAGAAAAAATTCGAAGTGAGGAAAAATATGGAGCCCAATAAGCTGATGAAATATATGACTAATGTAAATAAATGGCGTGTCTTGTTCAACATCCATTATAATTTGTTTCCCAAGAAAAAAATTGAATGTCTTGCTGTGAAAAAATAAAATAGAAATGGAAATAATCATCATTATGTTTATGGGCACTCTTGCAATTTACATAAATTAGAATTGGAGTGTAAACGTTTTACTTTTTTTATAAAATATAAACAGATTTAATGTCGGTGCACTATTTTAATCTCTAATTTTTGAAAATAATATTTTTTTATTTATTAAAAATAAATAAATAAATAAAATAAAATAAACTATTAGGATAATAATAATTTTTTCTTTAGCAACTATTTACATTTATAACAATGATGTACTCAAATACAGCAACCGACAAATATAAAAGACACATGTAGATGATATTTGCAAAGAACACCCTTCATTTGCAATAATCATATATACCTCATTAGCTTGTTCAGTTCTATATTATTCTTCACATCAAATTTTTTTTCTTTTTTATTTTTAAATTATTGGAATGGAAAAGTTTAAACCCTGTACGGTTAAATATTTTATCATTTATCCCATTGTATTTCTCTTTTTTAATCACTTATCTCCTATGTATTTCTTTAGTATTAGCATGGGTAAAATGTACAAATTAACCCAATATTTAACAATATTAAGAGTCTTGGACGGAAAAAATCACAAGGGAAGTAAGTGACATAAAAAAAGTACATAGAGTTAGATGGTTCTGAAGTAAATCACAAGGGAATTTTTGGACTTTTCCCTATATCTTATTATTCTTTTAAGAACATTTCAATTTGTTTTTAAAATTTAATAATTATAGGATATATTTAAAATTAAAAATTCAACAATAATTTTTAAAGTAATTGTTAGAGTCAATAATTAAAATATCTCTTGTTATTAATACTGTATTTTTTAATTTCTCTCCTTATTAATATAAGACTGCGTTATTCGTATAAAAATCTGTGTTTTTTATAACCTTTTACCAATCAAGTAAAAATAAAAATATTATATACCAAAAAAAAAGTATAGGTCAAAGTAGGAATAGACATAATATAAGATGTATAAAAGAACTGATTTTGTAGAAATTACTGAATTACATCTATCATAAATAAAATAATAAAATTGAATAAATTGAAAGAGTATGCTTAAAATGCAAAATTATGAGATTTAATTTGATTTGTAAATGAAATATTATGTTTGGAATGTTAAAAAAGAATAATTTATTTTCAAAATTTTATGAATTGCATTGCCTTTGTTTTGTAAATTTTATCAAATTTGGTGGGTGTTATCGGAAATTTATTTAATTTAATTTTAATATATAAATTAACTATTTCATCCTTATTAAATAACCTATTAAATAAAATAAAAATAAGCTTCATATATAGATTTTTTTTAAATCAAATTAAAAAAATTAAATTATTTAATATTTTTATAAAGATACTAATTAAAATACAACGCAAGGAATAAATATAAAATTTAAAAACACGCATACTCTCTTGGATCATGTATGGAAACCAGTTTAAAGGAAAATATTATATATAGGCCGGTTATTTTTACATTAATGTAAGAATAATAAGTCTTATACTTAATTTTAATTATTGATACGCTTATATCTAACGACTCACATATTCAATAAATTAGAACCATTAGATATAAATAAACTCAGTGGTTAAGATTAAGAGTGTGATATAAAATGATTCTACCCTATTATATAATATATTTAAAAGTTTGTGAATGAAAAAAAAAAAAAGGAAAAGGGAAAAAAATGAAAGGGTAATTATATTTAAATGTTTAAGCAATAACAAGAAGAGAATTTTTTTTGGTGAACTATTTTCTTTAATTGTGAGCTAGACGTAGGGTAGGTGAAATATAAGTTATTTCTTTTTTTCTTTTTTTAATTTTAAATGAACTTGTACTCCTTCATTACCATAACCTAAAGCGAGAAGAATTTAAGATTTTGAGGAATAACTAGAACATCATTCACTCCCTTTGTGTCCCTTTTCTTCTTATCAAACAATGTATGATTGGGTGGTTAGTAGTGTTGTAGATTACCCCACCATTACCATGTTGGAATATCAATTATGGTGCAACTGAAGTCTTCTTTTGTTTAATTGTTTATTCTCCCACACAAAGTTTATGTGCGGTCAGCTATAAAATGCTAAACAAAAGACAATTACAAATTGCAAAGGCTCATTGAACACGTTAACCCAAATAATTACGGTCATTTCCCTTAACTGGTGCCAAAGATTCAGTCCTAACTCCTAAGTCTTAACACAACATAACATTTCTCATATTATGTCTAACAAGCATAAATAATTTCAGAGTTAGTTGTTATTCGACATGTTATCGATTTTTCTTATCATAAAATCTAAAATATTATTAAGCCTGAACAAATGTCTTTTTTTTTTTTTTAACTATCAACTCCACAAAATATGATTAAATGACATTTTCACTTTTGTTTAACATTATATATTAAAAAGTTTGAAATGTCACATTTATTTTAGTTTTATTAAAATTTAAACTTAAATGTGTTATTTTGTATGCATTAACATCACCATTAAATAAGGGTAGATTGATTATTAAATATCTGAAATATCCAATATTAATATGTGATAGACCTAACAATGTTAATTGGGTTTTATAAGAGTTATGTTGTAGGAAAAGTGATTGTGTAATGTTATAGAGATTCATTTTGCGTGTTGTACTTTTTTTTCTTGAAAAAGTGTGGGCCCCACAAAATGTTGTGTGTGTCATGTTAAATGATAAATACAAACTCCATGTTAATTATAACTTTTCATAAATACAACATATTTTGTGTGAGAGCAAGATCATATAGTAAAAGAAATAAAATATATGCAGTGATAAAAATTACTTAGCAAATGAATATGCAAAGTATATCCCTTTAATCCTTGAAAAAAGTAATACAGTTGTAATATTCTTACTTGGTTTCCTTAATAAATAAATAAAAAGTTGTCGGTAATGACGAAAGATCCCAAAGTATTTCTAGTTTTGGTTGCGAAGCGACACATCGGTCCAAAATGGTTTACAGTATTTACCAAAAAAAAAAAAAAAAATTGGCTTATCCAGAATTCAACGTTAGCTTGCGTTTCAGGTCTAAATGAATGAGAGTGCTTGTGACTTCGTGTCACCATGATAAGTGCCTCCCATCACGTGTTGGTTTTTTCTACATATAACGCGTTTGACTCTTAATTGCCTGCAACAAATCATTAATTAACAACTTTTTTTGGCATTTTTTCCATCTGTATCTGACTCTCTGGTCTTAACTGGCTGTATTTCTTCACTTCAGAGCTTTTATCTAGAAGATATCAAATTCATTATTAAATAACATTAAAAGGTAATGTATCTACGATTTTTTCTTTCTATCTCATAATCTCACCTTGGTGTTGCTTACCTCTCTTATATATTCTACATCTTGTTTACAAATCATGTATAACATAATAACTCAAATAATCTCCAATATATATATATATATATGCTTTAATATTTTTACAGATAAATTATTTGTGTTCACTTTCTAAACGACGGTGTTTTGAATTATAACTTGATTTAAGTTATAATTATAAAAATATTTTGATTTGCTTTAAAATGATATTATTTTAAATTCAATATAGATAAATTATCTACATTTATCGCAGAAAAAATGAATCATATATATATATATATAGTTCACGAAAATTTGCTTACTAAGAAACAGCTTTCATTCTTATTAAATAAAGATTTACTTACCAAAAAAAATAAAAAATAAAGATTCTGTTATTTTTTATTTGGAAAGAAAAAATAAAACACATGCTATTCTATGGCACCACACCACAACTTAAAATAAGAAAACAATTAACAATTATCAAAACAACAATAACATAAGAGCACAACCTTTCATCTATTCAAGACAAAATGCAACATAAAAAATAAATAAAACATAGACCTTATCGTGTAATGGCTTTGTAAAGAGAGACCTGAACAAGGATCTTCTGTGTCTCAAGACAACAATTTGCATCCGAATCTGTGTCTGGAAAACTCAAACGCAGGCAGATAATGGGAGCAGACGAAGTTGGAGGAGTTTCAGAAGATCACCATCATCGTGAGTCTGATATAGAACTCATTGGTGGTGAAAGAGCAACTCTGAGTGGACCTTTGAACAAAAGGGTTGGCAAAAGAAGTGTAAAGTTGAAAGCTTCTGAGTCCAATTCCAGCTTAGATCTTAACCATAGCAATCGTAACAAGTCCCAGGAACAAGATGGAGAAGACTTTGTTGAAGTCACAATGGATATTCAAGGTGAAACTGTTGCTTTACATAGCGTTAAAGCTGTTGCAGGAAATAATCTTGGGGAAGATGAGAAACTGGTTTTGCTTGGTAAAGGCATGGAGAAGAAAAGGTCCTTTGGTGCCACGGTTGTGAGAAATGCTTCCATTCGCATGAAACAGGTTTCTCAGGAGCTGAAGCGTTTCGCTTCCTTTTCAAAACAAGCAGCACCTGCAAGAGTGCACTATGATAGGACAAAGTCTGCAGCGTGTCATGCTCTGAAGGGACTCAAGTTTATCACCAAAACTGATGGTGGTGCAGGATGGGTTGAGGTTGAGAAACAATTTGAAGTTCTTACTGCTTCCACTGATGGCTATCTTCATCGTTCTCTCTTTGGAAAATGCATTGGTATTATAGAAATCAAACCCCATCTTAGTTCAAATGTTTGTTGAAGTTTAAAGTATGGTTTATGGAGTAGTTTCTGAAGTTATGTTTGTATTTAATTGTAGGGATGAACAAGGAATCTGAGGCCTTTGCAGTGGAGCTTTTTGATGCTCTTGCTCGGAAGAGGGATATTCATGGGGATTCTATTAATAAGGTCCAATTGAAGGACTTTTGGGACCAGATTTCTGACCAGAGTTTTGATTCTAGGCTCAGAACATTCTTTGACATGTAATTCTTTGTTTTTTCTGATATATATATAAACAATAAAGTATGTGTTGAATGACCAGAGTTTTGATTCTAGGCTTAGAACATTCTTTGACATGTAATTCTTTGTTTTTTCTGATATATATATATAAACAATAAAGTATGTGTTGAATGACCTGAAGTATATTTCCAAGCTTAATTTAAAATGCAGGGTTGATAAAGATGCGGATGGTAGAATCACTGAGGATGAAATTAAAGAGGTATGGCATCATAAATTCTCCACTATGGAATCCAAATATGAGCTTCCCAAAGGGTTACTTTTTTAGTTTTTTCAAGTGACGAAATTAGTAAAGTAGTTTTATGGGCAATTTTTTCCAGTTTGCATTTTGTTCCCTTCAGAATAGGATTTTCCTTAATCATATATGATCAAAATTTTGTTTTCAGATTATCTGCCTTAGCGCCACTACCAACAAACTCTCAAACATACAGAAGCAAGCAGAGGAATATGCGGCTTTGATCATGGAAGAACTAGACCCTCATGACACAGGATTTATCAAGGTAATTGACATAAGCCTATTCCATAATCTCAAGATAGGGGGGAAAAAAATTCCTCATCTTAGGCACATTTCTTTTGCCAATTGGTGATTGTTATTTGGAAAACAGGTAGATGACCTGGAGATGCTCTTGTTGCACGGACCAAGCCATTCTACAAGAGGAGATAGTAAGTACCTTAGCGAAATGCTAAGCATAAAGCTTAAGCCTACATATGAAGACAATCCTATTAGGAGGTGGTATAGAGATACCATGTACTTCCTGCAGGACAATTGGCAGAGAACTTGGATATTGGTACTGTGGATTTGTGTGATGTTAGGCCTATTTGCTTATAAATTCGTGCAGTATAGGAGAAGAGCTGCATATGAGGTGATGGGCCATTGTGTATGCATGGCCAAAGGTGCAGCTGAGACACTTAAATTGAACATGGCTATTATCTTGTTACCGGTTTGCCGAAACACCATTACCTGGATCAGGAACAAGACCAAACTAGGCATTATGGTTCCTTTTGATGACAACCTCAACTTCCACAAGGTAATTTTTTTTCTGCTAATTGTTCATTTGAGAGTGACAAGAAGAGAAAACATATCTACTTTCACAAGTCAATAGGATATAAAAATTTATAGTAGTAAGCAAATAAAGAGTAATTTTTTGCAGGTGATAGCTGTGGCAATAGCAATTGGAGTTGGGATACATGCTATTTATCATCTTACTTGTGACTTTCCTCGCCTTCTACATGCAAATAGTGAAAAGTACAAGCTCATGAAACCTTATTTTGGAGATCAACCATCAAATTATTGGTTTTTTGTCAAATCATGGGAAGGAGTAACAGGGATTATAATGGTTGTTCTAATGGCAATAGCCTTCACTCTGGCCACCCCTTGGTTTAGAAGAGGCCGTGTCAAGCTACCCAAACCCCTCAACAATCTCACTGGTTTCAACGCCTTTTGGTACTCCCATCATCTTTTTGTCATTGTCTATGCCCTGTTGATTGTGCATGGAATCAAACTTTACTTGAGCAAGGAATGGTACAAGAAAACGGTTAGCACCTTCCTTCAGTTAACCCTTTTCCTTTTTCATCTTTTTCTTTGTGCTAATTGATATTGCTGGAATTTATTATCTGTGTTTTGTAGACCTGGATGTATTTGGCTATTCCCATCACCATTTATGCACTGGAAAGAATAACTAGAGCACTCAGATCAAGCATCAAGCCTGTGAAGATATTAAAGGTGAGAATCGAATAATATTCATAATTACTCTTTATGTGAAGAAACATATGATACCAATATAATCATTTTTGGCTAATCTTAGAAACTATGGTACATAAAAATAAAAAAGTCCTTGAAATGTATGTCTCACCACATTTTCACTGTCCAATTTAAAGGTGGCTGTTTATCCTGGAAATGTTTTGGCTCTTCATATGTCAAAACCTCAAGGGTTTAGATACAAGAGTGGACAATACATGTTTATCAATTGTGCTGCTGTGTCTCCATTTGAATGGTATGAATTTGAAGAAACATGAGTTAACTCTTGTCTTATATATGAAATGTTGCATCTAAATACTTTCATATACACCGTCAAATATTGTTTATACTTTCACAGGCATCCATTTTCTATAACCTCGGCTCCTGGTGATGACTATCTTAGCGTTCACATCAGAACACTAGGTGATTGGACCCGAAGTCTCAGAGTCAAGTTCTCAGAGGTGAATTCAGGTTAACTTTTGTTTGGTAATGCTATTTGTACAGCATTTCACATTAGCAAAACTAACACATCCTTACACTGTTACATTTACTTCTATATGGGTGCAGTTTTTATTTACATTTTTTTTTTCTTCTTAATTTGCTAGCACATTCGTGGTCTGTTTTTGTGATTAACTTGGTTTTATTGCTTTGGTGTGTCATTCAGGGGTGCCAGCCACCCAACAATGGGAAAAGTGGACTTCTAAGAGCGGAGTATATGCAAGGAGATAGCAGCCCAAGGTAAGCCACATTTAAAATGGGAAAATTAAAATAAATGTCACATCCGAAATGAAAAAGCAAAGAACAAACAGATAATGGAATGGCACAGAACTTTTTTGGCAAATCACAATGGCCGACACTAGCATATAATTGGGTGAGTTATCCTAGTTATAAAAAGCAATTCACAAATTAGTCTACTTTAACTTGCTTGTCAGTTTAATTAAGAAATGGTTACATAATTAGTAATAAATTAAAATTAAATGATTTATTAATTGAATTAACGAATTCTTGTCTTTTATATTTTTTTTGTCCTTGGTCTATTTATTCTTTTTATTTAGATATATTTGGTCTTTTTTATATCTCTATTTTATTCTCTCTTTTCTTTTCTACTTTTTTTTTTATGAAAATCTTTAGTAGATGAATGAGGTGGCATAAGGCTTAAAAAAAAAATCAATGAGAAAATCAGAATAAAATAGACAAAAAATAAATAAAAAAAGATCAAACTTCTCTAAATCAAAAAGAATAAAATAGACAAAGGACAAAAAATAAAATAAAAAATAAAACTAAATATATTGAAAACTCATAAGTGATTTCTTTTTATTCTATTTCTTTTTTATTTTATTTTTTATCTTAATTTTTTCTTCTAATTTTTTGTCTTCGGTATATATATTTTTCATTTGGACTATTCTCATTTTTTTTAATTTTAGCCTTTTCTACCACTGTTGTGATTTTTAATATATTTTTTCTTCTATTTTTTGTTTGTTCTTATTCTATTTTTTTATACAATTTTTTTTATTTAGACACGACGCATTTAATTTTTTTGCTATTTTTTTATTTTAGTCTTTTATTAAGTGTTATAAGTTTTGATAATATTTGGTCTTATTTTCTTTTTTCTTTATCATTTTATTTTCTTCTTCTAAGAAGAGAAGAATAGATATACTTAATTAATTTTTTAACAGTATTAAGGAGTGGTGTGGATGAAAAAAAATCATAGAAGATTAAGTGATTAAATATATATATAGGAATGTAAATGATTTAAAGCAATACAATAGGAATTTTTTGAATTTTTCCCTTTTAATATTCAATTGGTGGTACCCAACTAAACTAAATGAACTTATTTGTTTGTCGTTTGTTTTTTTCTTTGGGTGCAAATAAAGAATAATTGTTACGGAGGTTCCCAATGCCACCTTCTCACTCGCTTGCAATGTTGTCATCAAATGGTTGATGTTAACGGAGGGAAAAGTTCAAAAGAGTTGTTGTAATTTGGATTTTGGACTTCGAAAAATAGACAATGCGATAATGACGCGGACACGTTATGAAAGTGTTGAAGAAACACGTAACCCAAAAGCTATTTCATTTTCTTCTTCTCAATTCTCCCATATTTGCAATTTATTTGCATACTAGAAAAAATAAAAAATTGGAAGGTGTAAATTCTTCGATAGTCGCCGTACAAGCTTGGAAAGGAATTTTTTTTATGACTTATCTTTAATTGTTGAGTGAAAAATAAATGGTAGTTTATTATATAAGTTTTATTGATTAGTGACAAACAAACAAGTGAATTTTGGTTTTATTTATGCAGTGCTCTCCCTAGAGTTCTAATTGATGGTCCATATGGAGCACCTGCACAAGACTACAAGCAATATGAGGTGGTTTTGCTGGTTGGGCTAGGAATTGGGGCTACCCCAATGATCAGTATATTGAAGGATATAGTGAATAATTTTAAGGCCATGGAAAAGGAGGAAGGAACCACCACCATGGAGGAAGGAGCAAGTGGGTTTGGTGGTAAATCACCAAGACCATCTCAACACAAGTTGAGCAACTTTAAGACTAGAAGGGCCTACTTCTATTGGGTGACTAGAGAGCAAGGTTCCTTTGACTGGTTTAAAGGGGTTATGAATGAGGTAGCTGAAGAGGACCATAGGGGAGTAATTGAGCTACACAATTACTGCACCAGTGTCTATGAAGAGGGTGATGCTCGCTCTGCTCTTATTGCTATGTTGCAATCTCTAAACCATGCTAAGAATGGCGTGGATATTGTCTCTGGCACGCGCGTCAAGTCTCACTTTGCCAAACCCAATTGGCGTAGTGTTTACAAGCGCATTGCGCTTAATCATCCACAAGCCCGCGTTGGTAAGTTTCTCTTCTTAAATTTCACTCTTTAAATAGGATATATGTTCTAAAATTGCTTGATTAAAATTAACATATAAAAGTAGTGTATGGTATACTTATAATGCTTTTTCCCTTATAATGTTTTATTATTGTATTAAAATCAAATCAATTGTTATAAAATGACATTAAGTGAAAGCCGTTGATTTGATTTTGATATAAGTGATCGTAAGTAAAAGGTTGTCGGACAAAAGAAATTACAAATATAACTTCCCTAAAAAAAATATAATAAAATGATAATAAACTAGAGAGTATATTCTAGAATATACTTTAATAATACTACCTTTATTGGGAGATGCCTTTTGGGTGCTAGTGTGGTTTTAACTTTAAATTTTGTCACCGTTAAGGCGCTTTCATAAAAGAGAAAAATATTTTGTTTGTGTTCCAAAAATTTGAATGTTTAAGAGTGACAACCATTTCATTATCTGACGTTAGAAAAATTATTCTTTTTTTCAGGAAATAAAAGGGTTGAATTTTTTTTTTTCTATCAATTTATTTCTAGACTCCGAAAATGGATTCAGAAATTATTATCTTTATGGTTGATGTGTGCCTCATAATAAGAGCATGCTTTATATTTATAACGCAGGGGTATTTTACTGTGGGCCACCAGCGCTTACCCAAGAGCTTGGTCAGTTAGCTTCGGACTTCTCTCACAATACAACCACCAAATATGACTTCCACAAGGAGAATTTCTAATAAGATGGAGGTTATTAAAAAGGAAAGAAGAAGCTATGGGAACAAGATGGTCTTCCACCTTTATCCCTTCATGAAGATTATATACCATATCCTCGTTAATAATAATAATATATTCATGCTTTATAACGTGTATAATAATATTACAGCTTTCTATTAGGACGAAGGTTGATATATATAGGTTATAAAGGTAAGGTTTTGTTTGGCCATCGAATACCAAAGGTGTGATTGGATGGTAATGGCATCAATGCTTCAGCGTGTAGTGAATCACGGGATAGCATGCCCTCTGATTTGGATTCACAAAATGTAGCAATGGAGGGGAAATAATTTGTCCAACCAGAATGTACTCAGTTTCTGATTTGGATTATTATACTTGCAAATGAAAAAGTGGTTACACATTCCACATAAGAATTTGATATTTTAAAAAAATGTGAGAAAGAGGAAGAGAGAAATGAATGATGAATATGTTTTCTGTTAGAAATACCTGAGGGTAATGTTATTTGCAAATGTTATTCTTGTATTTTAAGGAATATTCTCAATCTGGGGATTTAGTAAGCTATTTGATCGGTTTTTACTTTTTAGCATTTTGCTTTGGTACATAAAGAGTTTAAACAATTTTTTTTCTGAGATCATATTCATGACGTAGCATTGAATTATAAATTTATGAGCATATTCCCGGTCAAGATCCATTTGTTTTCTTGGCATTTAGTAGAAAAAAAAATTTGTTTGTTTTTAAAGAACGTGAAGAGCATTTGGTAGAGGATAATTTTTTTATGTCCGAGAATCATGATTCCCAAGAATGTGATGGGAAAGTTACTTTTCTAGAGATGTTATTAAAGAGCTGTTTAGTAGGTCATAATATTATTGGAATTTTATTCAAAAAAAATTGTAAATTTTTTCCAATATCTAGGATTCCAAGAATACCACATTTTTATGGTATTCTTGGATGGCATTTTGGAATAAAAATTATACACAAAATAAAATTTCAAAAAAATCAGATTTTCGAAAAAAATTGCAGAAACCTTATATCAAATGTAGATAAATACAGTTACCACTATTATTTTTTCGCGAATCTCAAAAAAAATTCCTATCAAACACACCTGACAATGATATTTTAGGAAGAAAATGAGTATATTTTCAAAATTGTATGAATGAGCTCAAATTAACTAGATTTTCAAAATGCATAAATCATGACATGAAATACTTGAAAGCAAATTGAAAATTCCATAAAAAGGTTCTTGACATGCTTTAGAATTTCAAAATATTTTATTAAAGTCAAGAACAATCATATAAACTGGTTATTGAAGCAAAAAATATTCAATTACTTTTTGTCTAGTATTTGATCACTTCTTTCCCAAAAGAAAAGTATTTGAATACTTCATGAAAAATATTTCTCTGTTTTGTTTAAATCATGTATATACTCATTTATTATGCCTTCAACTACTCCTAATCAGTATTCCACCATTATTGGTTGCATGTGTTTTGTTTTGAACAACAGAAATAAAAACATTGGCAAATTGAATGAAGACGGTTTTCTAAGCTATTCACTCACAAATAAAGCATAGAGTCCATAATAAGAAAATTATGGTCATTGAATAGTCTTTTCAAAATTTATGAGTTTTCCAATGATTATATAAAATAAATTTTCAACTAAATTTTAAAATATAAAAAATCAAGTTAATCCTATTTAACAAAAATTCGGATAAACAATACATAGATAAAGCACACGCGCACACACACAGACATAGACACACACACACAAAGAGAGAAGAGAGGGAGAAAGCTCTTTTAGGGTAAAGGTAGGTCTCTATCCCTCAAGAGATGAAGTATCTCACTATATGGGTGCTCTGATAAGCAGTTATATGAACTAAAACCCTTGGAAAGAAATCATAGGTGCTATCTCAGGTATGCCTGAGATGGGGAAACGAGTAAGGCCATAGTAGCTCTAGATTTCATCAAAGTAAAAGTTCATGATATGTATGAATGCAAGATGCCTCTTCAGTGAGTGAAAGAATATATATATATATATATATATATATATATATATATATATATGAGGCAGGATATTCTTACACCAGTGTAAGAGTTAGAAGTCTTACACTCAATCTTGACCATTGATCCACTTGTATCGAATGGCTCACATTACTAAAAAATTTGAACCATTAGATATAAGTGGAATCAGCGGACAAGATTAAGAGTGTAACTTACACTGGTGTAAAATGATCCTAACCCTATATATATATATAGGCGAAAAATATTCCCTAATGATATGAGAGAGAAGAGCTATGACTATTTTGTCCACTGCCTCTCTATTGTGAATGGAGGAATTGCTCTACCATTTGTACGATGGGAGAGCTGTACAAGGGAGTGAGAGATCCTCCATATAGAGGTTCATGTGCTCATTTTCTACTTGTATTTTCTCTCAATAAATAATATGAATTAATTGAATAATTGCTTTATATATTTGGCTTTATATAATATTTTAATGTTTTGTTCTTATTAGGAATTTTTTTTATATTTTATACAATAAATACATTTTTAGTATTGGACAATTAAAGGATATGTATTAAAACCATAATAAGTCTACGTGGAAATTTAAAATTACAGGATATTAAATAATGAACGTATAGTGAACATTTTCACAAAATTTTATTAAAAGATTCAAGGACGATTACTTGTTAGGTTAAAGAGGTGAAGACTTTGTATTAAAAAAAAGAGGTGAAGACTGAAGACTATTCATTTATTCAAGAGTTAATATTAACACATTCATCTACCTTCGAATTTTATTCATGTAGTTTATTCTCCTCCAACAGTTACTTCTTATACTTTTTTTCTCGTAACATTTAAGACTGTTAATTACTCCAATTCTTAGGATGTTACTTTAATTACTCCGATTCCAATTTTATAATCATTTGAAAAAGGTGATTGTTCGTAAAAATAAAAAAGGTCATTAAGAATTCAGGGGTGGACAGAGTTGGCCTAACCTAGTAGTATTTCGGAATAACATTGGGTTTTTTTATTGGGCCGGAAGAAGTTGATGTTCGAGTCATCTGGACCCCGACAAGACCTACTATTATATAAACAAGTGTGCTTTATAAAATTTTCTCCTATACCCTTATTTCATTGTTTTAGTTATCACGTTATTCACTTATTAGTTATTACGCAATTGTCAACTAGATTGAGATTTGGAATGGACAAAAAGTAATATATAGTATATACAAGGAGATGGATACAAGTAAAAGAAAAATAATCAAAATATTACCTAAAATGTATTTTTCATATGTGAACTAAAATGACTTAATCTATGTATCAAAAAAAAAAAAAGACTTAATCTCGACCAGGCCTAACTTGAACTTAATATAGTTGGGACTGGGCTATAAAAAGTAATATAAGCCTAACTTTATGTTTAGCATTGTGAAAATATGACGACAACAATTCACTAGTCTCTTTTTTCATATAATTTTTCCGTTTCCGTGAGCTCCCAAAGTTCCCCTACGGTCCACCTATGTAATGAGTCTCTTAAACCAAATAATTTTTTTTGAATAATATTGTAATTTATTTAATCTATATACTTTTTTATTTTATTTATACTTACAATATTAGTATAAAGTATATTAAATTTTTTATAAATATGAAATAACATAGTATATATATATATAATTAGGGAAAGCTTATCCAAAGGTAATTAAGATGGCCTTTTGACCTTGTTGTTTTTGTAATATATGACCGGAATAATTTATGGGTCAAGTTTTGCCAATATAATGCATAACAACGCGGTTGGAGAACTCATGTTTAAGGACGTGATAGAAAGCATACCGCGTCCTGTACAATTTTTTTGGCACGGTCATCAGAGCTCCTAAGATGTGATACCTTACCTACCACGTCCAGTACAGTCCTGTCAGTGCTTTTAAGACATGATACCTTACATGCCACGTCATGTGCAAAACATGATACATTGAATCGTTCCTTCTTCGCTTTTAAGATATATACAACGAGAATTGTTTATCTCATTTAACATGAGATAAACTTTTTTACCTACAGTTACATATATGGGAAATAGGAGAGAGAATAGAAGAGAGAAAAAATATAAATAGGTCCCACCACTCAATATGTGAGTGTAGAAAAATGAGTTTATCTCATGTTAAATGAGAAAACAAATCTCATATAAAATAATAAGAAGAAAAAGTCTTGCATCCTGTATATCAAATTAATATTACTATTGAATATTTATATTTCTTGTAGTCTAATTGTACCAAAAACAGAATATGATTAAAGGGGTGTTATTTGCCTATTTTATAATTAAATAAAAATAGACGCTTATATAATTTAGGTAAAATATAAATTAAAATATTTTTTGAAAATTTTAAAATTATAATGGAATATGAATAATTAATTTAAGAAAATTTTTAGAAAATATAAATTAAAAAAATTAAAATTGTAAACAATATATGCATAATTAATTAACAATAAATTCAAAAAATAAATTAAGAAATATATATTATCCTTTGAAAAATTTAATTACTTTTTACAAATTAAATTTCATTTTAATACGTCAAAATAAATACAAAATTGTTAACTATCCAATACTTACCTATAAATATCTTGAAGGCTGAACAGAATGGGAAAAATATTTATTATTTTAAAAAAATATAATATTGAGTTATTTTAACTAAAATTATTATATTTTATATGTAGTGAGAGAAATAATTACACAATAAAAAACCATGGTGTGTGAGAGTGAAAGGTTATTGATAGATTTTTTTAAATTTAAATATTAAATAAAATACTACTATTTTACTTAAAATAACACATATTTTATACTTTAGAAAGACAAATATTTTTTGAAGGAGAATATTAAACAAAAGAAAAAGTAATAAATGTTAACCTCTCTTTTTGTCGTGAATCAGATAAAAACTTATAAATTTTGATTCTTCAGAAATACGGTAAACCCTAAACTTATACATATGATTTTGCACAGGACGCGGCAGGTAAGGTATCATGTCTTAAAAGCAATGACAGGTTTGTAATGGACGTGGTAGGTAAGGTATCACGTCTTAGGAGCGCTGATGACCGTGCCAAAAAAATTGTACAGGAGGCGGTATGCTTTCTATCACGTCCTTAAACGTCAGTTCTCCAACCGCGTTGTTATGCATTATATTGACAAAACTTTTGACCCACAAATTATTCCGGTCATACATTACAAAAACAACACTACCAAGGTCAAAAGGCCAATTAAGATGGAGTTAGATATTTATTTTATGAATAATAAAAATTGCGAATAATTTTTATGCCTCAAAAATAATTCAATTAACATTTAAAAATAAATATGATATTTTTTCATTAAAAAATTATATTTAAATATTACTATAAAATATAAATACATCAAATAAAAATATGCTTGTAAGAAATACATCAGAATATTTACTCCATGAAACTCAAGATATGCTTGTAAGAAATATTATATATAAAAAGGTTGTATCTCTGTAGTTGCTATAGAGCTTTGTCTTCTCCCATTGAGATAAATATATGGTAGGGCTCACCATGTCTTTTAAAAAAAAAACTAAAATTTTGGCTAAGTATGTCGCATAAGGAGAACACTTATGTAGTAATAATAAGTGTTTTTTGCTTACCAAAAAAAAAAAAAACATAAGTGTTTTTCTTTATAAAAAAAAGATTTAATGTTTTTAATGTGAATGCAAATAAATTATCCATATTTAATCTCAAAACGATGTCAGAATAAATTACATTTATGAAGACTATTATAACCTTGGAATAAATTATAATTACAAAATTTTTGATTTCTGCTCCAAAATAATATCGTTTTAAGCTCAATGCAGATAACTTATCTGCATTCACCGCAGAAAAAACAAACCTATAAAAAAATTGTAATTTATCAACATCTTTATGTTAAGAAGAAAATTAAAAGAAATAAAATATGTAATGTATCAGAATTTAGCTTGACTCTATTTGTAAGTGCATGATTAGATATGATTATTTTAATATAATACCTTCTAAGAAAAGCTTTATAAAACCGCCTAACATATCTTTTATTATTGTTATTTTAAAAGGCAAAAACTATTATCAAACAATCACTAAATACACTGTACATTTTTTTTTATCATCTCAATCTACACCTGCAATATAAAACATTCACAAAATACATCGTCTACAGGTACTTACTTCATTCTATTTTATTTTTTCATCTCAGTCTACTCCTACTTTATTGTTGGATTATTCAAGTGTGAGAGTTACATATTAACCAGTAATAAACTAACAAAAGTACATATAAATGAGAGGAGTTATGAAATTAATGTTTTAAAGTTTTGGGTTGAAACATGATATCGGATACATTTGTTATGGTTGATGTAGCCTGAACTCACCACAATGATATCAGAGTTGAATTGGGCTCAATAGATGTTCGGCTAAAAGGAGAGTTGAGTACTTTAAGCCTACGTACTCGATTGAGAAAAAATATACTAATGATAGGTATTACACTTAAAATAAAAATTGTTTGATTATTCAAGTATGATAGTATGATGAGTCTTATATTGATTGATAATGAATTAAGTAAAGTACACATCAATGAAAAAATTATTTTGAATTGAGTCATGATATCAAACCCGCTTACTACAATTGTTGTAATTTAGTTCATTGACGATGATCTTCCATCGTGACCTCCCCTTGGAGCACCTGACACATATTATAGCGATGGTTTGATCATTATTTCTGATCTTATTTCCTCCCTAAAACGACAAATTTAAGCTATTTTTCACTTTTCAGAGGATAGTGATTGCCAGGAACCTACTAGCGGAGCTAAACAAAAATGAGAAACCCAGATCTTTCGCGTAGAAAAGAGGTGTATTTGAATTTGATGAAAATTCTTGTAAAAAAGAAAATAATTATTTTTTCCAAACAAAGTTAAGAAACATTTATTAATAATTAAAATTTTACTTACAAAACTTTAAACAAAATTGTTATTTTCTCTAAAAATTAGGCTCTACTATAGCACAATATTCATGCCTGTAATTCCAGCAAAGAAGGAATCAAAAAATTAAAAATATAATTTTTATATTCAGTATACGATAATATTTAAAAATTAAAAATTTAAAAAAAATCAGTTTCTTAAATTTTTTGAAGAATTCCGCGTACCAAACAGGCCTTAAAGACTCAAGATGAACCAAAGAATCATTGACGCCCAAAACAGTATAATACTACCTTTCAATTGATATAACTAACTAAGACAGGGATGAGGGAACAAATTAAGAATCACAACATTTTCTTTGAAACGTACGATTCAAAAAAAAAAAAAAACTACTCACAGAATATAAATATAAATATAAATATATAAATATGCACCTTATATAATTAAGCCCCAGTGATACATGAAAACATTCTTTGACTCCTAATCCTCACGAGTTGCTTTGAAGAGGTAGAATCAAAGATCTCAGGTGATTGGAAACCATTACCGAAATCTCCAACAGATTTATATCGCCGGTGACCAACTTTCTCTGCATCATGATGATGATGAGGCACTTTCTGGGTTGGAATAGGTGTCTCATTCTGAAGGGCATATCCTTGAGTTTGAGGGTAGATCTCGGCCATGCTTATGTTGTAGCTTAGAGCTGTTCCTGATGAAAGACACTCGTATTGCCTTCTTGTTTTGTTTTTCTTTATTGCTTTGTAAACCAGAGGCAGAAGACCCTCCATTATAGCTATTACCTCTTGAACGCTTATTACCCTTCTTTTTCTTTCTTTTCTTTTCTTTCTTTCTTCTTCACCTCTTATGAGGAAGATAATAAAAGAAAACAGAAATATAGAGAAAATGTTAAAGGAAATAATAGTAAAATGGAGGGTTTTAGAAACAACCAAGTAGCTGGGTTAGGTGAGTTTCCTCTTCTTTTCTATTTTTTTTTTTTTTGTTATTTTTTTTTTGTTTTATGGACTAAAACAGTGCAACGGGTCAACATGGGGTTTGACTTTGACGTGTAAGAAAAACAAAGAAGTGCATTTTAGCCACCCAAACAGGAGGTGGCAGCCTGTAATTGAATTTGTTGTGACAAAATTATTTGATAATTAATTAGACGTAAAAAAAAATTTGTTTTTTTCATAATTATTTATGGAAATTTTAATTTTAAACTTTATTTAAATTGTATGAAAAATATTTATATAGTAATTATTAAGGAAATCAAATTATTTGTGGGGGAAGGATATTCTGACAATCAAGTTGTGTTATTACCAAGTGACTACCAATTAGTTTTACCGTTAAATCGATTATATTGATCAAACGGTTATATTTATTTCCATCTTTGTATGGTCATGATTCCCCATATTTAAAGTGAAAGCATTAAATATGAAAAATCATAACCATACAAAGGTGAAAATAAATATAAAGTATTAAATTTGAGCAATCATGACCATACAAAGATGAAAATAAATATAATCGTTGGATCAATATAATCAATCTAACGGTAAGATTGATTAATAGTCACTTGATAACTTGGTAATAACACAATTTGATTGTCACAGTATCCTTCCCTTGTTTGTTTGATTAGTCAAGATGCTCTTCGCTGAAAAGTGAACGAAGATTATTCAAGATGTTCAAAGGCTCGTGGGTGAAATGGATTAAAATATTACAACTTGAAATTAATCAATATAATTGTTTCCAAAAAAAATAAAAAAATCACAAATTCAGGTCCTTCTCAGTGAAGAGCATAACTTGAAATTAATAATTGTAACGCTCAAAACAAAGACTTTTCAAAACAGGTCCTTCTCAGTGAAGAGCATGATCTGATATCATAATCAATTCTGCCCACTTATCCTAAACGTACATTAACAAATTCACATAAAACGACTTTGGGGGATATTATTCTCACATTACTCACAAATTAAAAGTATGATACGTACACTCTATATTTTTCTTTCTCTCCTCTATTTTTTCTTCTTTCTCCTCTAAATTATGAATATATGAGAGAAAAATTCTCGTATATAATAGGAGAGTAATTTTTTCCAACGATTTTATTCAATACAAAGTATTGTTATGGGGAAAAAATTAAGCATTCCCAAACATCGATAAGCTACCTAAAAAACTTGTTTACCCCATCAGCGAGTTTTTAATTTAATCTTTTTTTTTTTACAATTTTTTTTAGTTAAACCCGTCTACACTAATCACTATTGGACTTCTGCAAACTTGTTGTAATTAATAAACTATTATTTAGTTCTCAAAATATTAGAATGATATTCATTTTTTTGTAGGTAATTTGATTATTAATTTGAGTTTTTCAAATAAGAGTGACATTAATTTAATTTTCTCAAACTGACATCAATTTAGATTCTTAATTCAAAAATATTTCTGCATTAGTACAGATAAGTTATCTAGACTTACTTTCAAAACGATGTTATTTTGAGATTGAAACATTAAAAAATTATAATTATAAAGACTATAATAATCCTGAAATAAATTAAAATTATAAAAATACCATAATTTTTGTCACAAAACGACATCGTATTAGACTTATAGAAGATAACTTATCTGTCGTAACTGCACAAAAAGCGAATCCTTCTTAAATAATTTAGTCCTTGAATAATAGAAAGTGGCACCAATTTAATTTCTTAATCTCATTTGTGTGCAGAATAATGATTATTAAAAGACTCCGAATAAATGTCATTTATTTTTCAGGGAGTAAAGCGATGTGGATTGTGGACCCAACCTTTGCATGACTAAAATTTTATATATATATATATATATATATATATATATATATATATATATATATATATATATATATATATATATATGATATTGTAAGAAATCACCACAAAAGAAATTTATATATATCTTTATAAATAGTTTTATACACATGTCATTTTAGTAGCTAATCTCATATTTTCTTTTCAGCTACATGACTTTGATTATTCAAAACCATGATAAGCATGGAAGATGTTAAATGGCATATCTCAATGAGGTTGGCAATTTGGCATGAAACACTAACTAAATATTTATTAAGGACCAACTAATATGCAGTCTGTGCTGATTGTGACTGTAATTGAAGTTAAACAATTGTTTATTTGCGGGTATCTGAGCATGACCCCACACAAATACTCATCCAAGAGGAAGCTGTTAAAGCTATTTTGACTTCTTTGCACTCCATTTGGAAATGACAACTTCAAGATGAGGACAGATAACTAAGCAATAACACCAAAAACCTAGGGGCGGCAAGGTTCAAGGTTGATGACATTAACGTTATTAAATAATAACATTCACAAAGGGACAAAAGGGGCCAATGACCTGATTGATACAATTTCTAAGGGGCGTTTGGCATAAGTTTTTTTTTTTTTTAATTTTTGAAAAATTGAATTTTTTTAAATTTTTAATTTTCGGATATTATCGTAAATTGAATGTAAAAATCATATTTATGAAAATCGAGATTTCTGGATACAAAAAAATTTCTCCTCTACTAAACGCCCCCTAAAGAAATCATATTTTACAAGCAAGTGCACTGTATCGTGTGGATTGGGCTATTAGTTGGGCTTTTCCTTCTTATTCCCAGTTAAATCTGGATTTTTGGTAATGGTTGAGGACCTCGCCTTTTTCTAATTTTCCTTTCTTAATCCGTGTGGTAATCTTTGTGGTTAAGGGCTGTGGAGTAGGGGGTGTTCGCGGTCTGGATTGGATCGGTTTTGGAAGCAAAACTCATCCGATCCAATCCCTTCGGTTTGATCATGTAATCATCCATTCAGTTTAGATTTTTTTTCAAATCCGATCCGATCCAATCCAATTTTTTTCGGTTTGGATTGGATCGGTTTTCGGTTTTTTGAATATCCTAAAATTAGTTTCATGATTATTGTGCAAATAACATCTTTTGTATATATTGGATTTGTAAAAAAAAATTGAAATACAAAAATATCAGTAAATAATACTATAGTTGATGAGACATGACTAAGTTTTTTTTTGGATTTAGTTGATGAGTTAATTGGTCTTGAGTTTAGAAATTTTTGGGCTATGATTGGAGAAAGGACAAGTAGGTAGAGGATAATTAATATATTGGATCGGTTTGGATTGGATCGGCTTTCATCAACCCATCCGAAAACCGATCCAATCCAATTAAAATTTGCGATTTTCTTTCGGTTTCCGATTTTTCGATTTTCGGTTTATTCGGTTATCGGTTTTTCGGTTCGGTTTTCGCGATTTGAATCGGTTTGGATCGGTTGATGAACACCCCTACTGTGGAGATAAAATGTCACTCAACCCAAGTCATCAGTAGTTGAAGCAAATGGTTTCAATGGAGTATGATAGTTGAAGAAACTGATATTATTATTATTATTACCTTGGCAAAGAATATATAATTTTATTATCACATAAAGATTTTCTTTTTTGGAGTTACCCAACCCTAATTACCTCTTTGAGGCGAGTTGGCTCCCTCCGGTATTCCCACGAGCTTCGACTCTTTGAGCCGGCTATGAGACTAATCCGGAGTGCGGGGGAGCAGTGATGGCTAAAGGTTCAGCCCCCTCCCCAAGAATGCATTCAGCAGGAATCGAACACATGTCCAACCTCACTAACTCAGCGCCAAATTACCAACTGAGCTGCACCCATTAGGTACTCTAATCGTTAGTAGAAGTGGACGAAAAATATGAGAATAAAATATTAAGCTAAGGAATATTTTCATACTAAACATAAGAAAACCTATAATCCTAAAACAAATGAAACATGTGTCTAAATCCCACATTGATATATGTTTTGTATTTTAATTTGTGCAATTTCTTAAGACTAGTATTAATGATTTGCATTGATGATTTATTAATGCATTGATACATGAGATGCATATGTATTAAATGATATAATAATAATAATTTACTATTGTGGTTGTGATTTTCATAATTGAATGCAAGAATCTTATATATCATAATAATTATTATAACCAAATAATAACAATTATTTTACCATTGTGATTGTGATTTTGAGAATTGAATGCAAGAATCATACCATAATGATTATTATAACTAAATGTGATAATTTTTAAATTTATCTTTTTTGAATTACTGTTTTTCTTTTGAATAAAAAAATGTATGTATTCATCATAATTGAAAAGGAAAATTAATAATGATTATTTAGATTTGTGGTTTTGCGATTTTCACAATTAAATACAATTATGTCAGCTATGTATTGATATCATAATGATTGTTGTAAGTAAATGTGATAATTTTCAAATTTATTATTTTGAGTTTGCTTCTTTTCTTTTAAATAAAAAATGTCTTTATTTATCATCGTGATTAAAAAGGATAATTGTCACTTTTAATATTCATGAATATTTATAATTTTGAATTATATTAAATTCCCATTAAATATAAAATTGTCTATAGAATAACTTTACGGCGAAGACTTTTAAAAGATTGTGTGTGTTAAAAGTATTTCTGTAGTTATAACAAAAATACTTAATCTGTCACAGACACAAAATTATCAGGATATGACGTCGGATCCTGATAATTTTTTTTTAAAATAATTATCTATTTTTAGATTTAGTATTTTTTAGTATAATTAAAATATATTATTTTTATTTCATGTTCAATTTTATTTTACTTTTAAATGTGTCTTTCAAATTATTGTATTTTTTAATTCAAATTTGTCTTTCAAACCAGGGGCATTTCAGGAGCCTTTGACTCGGCTCGTGAAGACTTGGGCTTACATGTTTAAAATTGATTATTTGAATCTGGCTTGAACTTGTATAAAAGCTCGTTTAATAAAAAGGCCTTAGACTCCAATTAAAAAGCTCGGCCTTAGAGCCAGTGTTTAAAAACCCGGCTCGGCCATCGACCCGGCTGAGGTCAGGGGTCACGGGTT